TTTAAAATGTCACACCTGAACGCTCACATCCTTTTAATTATGTTTGAAATTATGAACATTGCTCAACATCATGAAAATTAAACCTTATTTTCAATAAGCAATCCTGAAAAATATTTGGGGGTGCTTAACTTTTTCCAGGTGTATATATTCATTTAAAATCTTGTTCATTGTTATAGGAAGGCCACAGTTCTTACTGTCCTGTGTCCTTTGGACTCAATAGCTGTTGCCATTATACAAGTCATATTCTCATCTGTGTTCTGGTAAATCTCTAGTGCAATTTACCCCCTTGTTTCAAAAGTTTAGACATTTGAAGACCATAATATAACCTTTGTGAATAAACCCTGGCCTATGGGTAGGTCATTCCAAAATATTATTACTGTTTTTACCCCTGTGTGTTTGTTTGTGCATTTATCAGCAAGATTTCTCAAATGGCTGAATTGAGATGGACAAAAGCTGGTATACATTTGGACTATGATCCAACTTATAATTAATTAGTTTTGGGGGGTCAAGGTTACAACAGTGTCATGAAAATCCGAAAAATCCCTATGTGTTAACATGCAGACCAATTTTTCACACTATTTTTGCTTGATAACTCAGTCAAAAATAATCAGATTTTGATGGAACTTGGTGTACATGTGTAAAATATTATCCCTCATTGTCCTGCCAAAAATGGTTCATGTCCATTAATAACAACGAACATATTTTAATATTTTTTCAGGGTTGAATATGATCAATACTGCGTGGCAGAGGTATGCACTCTACTGAGTGCTCGTATAGTTTGTTTTTGTTTTCAAACCAGGCAATGGATGTGCTTTACAGCAAGAAGTAGTAACCTAATGAAGTAACATATTTTCTAGCTGTGTAGGTAATACTTTCGTGGCTCCTTGAATATGTTCATTAAAATATCTTCATACTTGCAGACACACAACAGATAATACTTTGTCCAATGTACAGAATGTAGCCCAACCCTTAACATACCCAACACAATCAAGAGCCAAATTGTTAATCTGCTTGCTTCCTAAACCAAAAATTAGCATTCACTTTGAGACTGGGTGATATTGAAATGGCTGTCATTGCTCCATGAAAATTGTGAACAGTTTCTAGGACTTCGGTGTTGACAAGCCTTCAGTCAAGTAAAATAATTCCTATCATTCTTTGGGTGATACACTATTTGCATTTTCTAGCTCTTAGAAAATACCAACATTAATAAAGAACACATTTTACAGACCTCGCAGATGGTGCCAGTCACATGCTTACATCAGACATAGTAAAGTCTTCGTGAATTCCTTACAGCATTTGTTTACAACCTTAACATTCATCTCCTTCTCTATTAATTTTTTTTAGAAGTTTTGCAGTCAAGTTCCCACTATCATTGAATAATTTTGTGCATTTTAAGCAACCTATTATATTTTCTTTTAAATTTCTAACAAATTTGACTTCTTGCACACACTTTGACACTAGTAATATACTTGTGTTTCTGTATTCATCACTTAGTTCCCTTGGGTGGGCTATACTACATCTTCAAGGGATACCAGATACTTTGGACAGGACAGATTTTGTTTGAGTTTCTTAAGTACATAACTATTGAAATACAATAATTGTATATTTGTTCACAATGATGCACTGTTTGTTGTTTTTTTTTTACTACTAACTTTTTGTACCTGTTGATTACACTATATTTCAGGAAGTTAGAACAAGCAGTCACCTGTAAAAGAGAAAAAAAAGAATACCAAACTTGTATGTCACCTGATACCTTAAGAATATTTCAAACTATTCACATTAATATGTAGATGTTTTAAGGTGGATTTATGTTTATCACCATTCATTGTGATATATAGCTTTATAATAGCTTGTAATCTATGATCTCTGACTAAATTAAGTTTTCCTTTATATGCTTGTTAGAAAATCAATCTTTACTTTCACAAAAGAAAGGTTTTTTAGTATGAAAATTATTAATGCATGTTAGAATTATTCCCAACTCATTAAGTTTCTTACTTTTTTGGTTTCTGATTTCATCTGCTTGATTTCTTTGCTGGTGTTTTAAGAATATTATAATATTAAAGTAGTTTGTATATATATATTTTAAGCTTTAAAAAAAACATTGTGTTAAGTGCATTTACAGAACCATGAAAGTCAATTCCTTCATTTCCTTCAGGCTTTAATTAAAATAATTGTTTTTTGTCTCAAACATCTTACGGGCATCTTAAAATTTGATTCTCTAAATGGAATTGTGAAGTGCATAATCTTTTTTTAATTTTTCTGATGTCATTATATTCGGATCTTGACAAGAGTAAAAGCTGTTCATGATAACAAGGAACCCACTTGAAGAAAACATAGGGAAATATGGCTGACAAAATATTAAAAACTTTTGTTTAAAACACAAATGAACTGATGATGACCTAAGTAGGTTGAAACATTGTTACTTCTGATAAATGTTTTTAATACCCATATCAGCCATCTCTATTAAGTAAAAAGAGCTGTTGTTTTCCATAACTAATTCATATTCACTCTCCTGATTTCATACTTCTATCTAAAAACTTCCACTTTCTATGTGGCTTTTGAATCTCTAGACAACTACAGTTTCATATACTGGTGAAAAGATAACACTTTATTGTACAAATGTTATTTGTAAGTTAGCTATTCTTTCTTTGATATTACTTTTGTTAACAGTACTGGTTATAACTGGTTATAATATATCTAGTTTTATTATTACACTTTTATTATAGAGATTATTTAGCATTGTTAGCTTGGCATATGGATTTAGAACTAACTTATGTCTCCTAAGCTAGCTGGCTGAACCTTGTAAGATATTATTGGATTTACAACTGAAAATATCATACCCAACCGATTAAGTGATGCATTCTAACCTTTATACATAAAAGCTTAAGAAAAATATGTTAACTGTTGTCATTACTGGGTTAATTTTTAGTTTTAATCTAAGTAGATACTGTAGTTTGCTTTGATCAAAAAGTAATAGCAATTATATAGACTTACTGTATGTGGCTGGACTAAACATTAATAGTTTGTTATTAAGGTGTGATTGAAGAATAGTTTATGTTGTATTTCATAACCATTGAACAGAAAAAAATTGAGATTTTTCCAAGACCAAAAGTAATTTTTTAAAAATTCATTAACTAATAAAATATATTGTTTGTATAAAATTACTAATCAACTTCATCTTATTAAATCAATATTAATCATACCTTAACCATTCAAGGTAATAGTAATTTTGACTGTCTTGATAAAACAATATTAATCATTATTTCATCACTCCATAATAAGAGTAATTATCACTTTGTCTCACTAAAACAATATTAATCATTATTTCATCACTCTATAATAAGAGTAATTATCACTTTGTCTCAGTAAAACAATGTTAATCATACCTTAACCACTCAAGGTAAAGGTAATTTTGACTGTCTTGATAAAACAAGACTTAATCATTTCTTCATCACTCTAAGATATGAGTAATTAAGATTTTTTTGTCACTAAAACAGTATTAACCATATCTTTGTCAATTCAAGATAAGATTAATTTTGACTGTCTTACTAAAACAGAATTAATCATACTTTTCTGACTGTGGAACAAGACTGAAGAAGTATTTCTCATAAGACACACAAAATACATCCTCTACACTATTAAAAAAGGTTCACCCATACATTTGTCACTTTAAAACATAGGACAAAACTAAGATCTCTTTTTTTTTCATTGTAAGATAGTAGTAGTCATTTCCTCAACATATTAAGGTAAGGTATTTGATGATATTTTTACTGTACGACAAGACTCTTTTTCTCTGATGCTTTAGCACAAAGCTAATCATGACATTGTAAAGCAAAACAATTATAACTTGATTGCTGTAAATCAGAGGCTAAATCTTTCATTTAATTTTTAAAATTAAACTTCTTATTGTTAAGCAAAACAAATCATATCATCATTGTATGATGAGATTGCAGTCATATGAAGGTGGTTATAACATCTCATTTTTTCTGATAAATAGAAAATATCTATATATAGACTATAATTATATATTTTGTTATTTACTTTTACCAAGTAACAAAACAACTTATTCACCTATAAGTTAGGTGATCTAAGAATATACTTTCAGACATAAGAAAAAGTTATTGAAAATTCCAGAAAGTCTTTGCTTGGATTGCAAAAGAGGCTGTCAAACCTCTTCTTAGAACTTCAGCATGCAAAGGATTTAATCCCAAAGTTTGTGAGGTGACTTCCTGCAATTGACTATAACACTGCCATGAAGATAAGTGCATACACTTAGAAAAATCAAAAATCTTTCTTTTTTAGGCCCCAATGATTCCAGAATCTAAAGATGACCCTAGACTGCTTCGACGAGACCTTAGCCCACCCACTCAACGATCTTTAAGGCTAGAACGGGTTGTACAGGCTTTAGCACAAAGTAGTGATGATTTACAAAGGTAAGCTTTTTGATTATGTCAGTCTTTTTTTACAAAGAAGTGGAGAACTACGAGTCTAAGTTCTTTGAGTATGTCAAGCTTATTTCCACAAAGTAATGAAGATCTACAAAATAGACTCTTCAAGTATATCAAGCTCATTTCCAATAAGTATGAAGAACTACAAAACTCTTGTATTCCTTATGATAACATTTTACATACTACTGAACTACATGTTTTCATCAACCATGTAGTGACACCTGTTTCTTTGTTTACTTTATCTTGTACAAAATATGTCTATTAGATAACTTGCTTTACATTTTATAATTAATTATCCAGAGAAATATTGTTGGTTATCTTCTCAATATTTTTTGTGCTGTAAAGGTTTTTGTTCAGTATGTATAAATTTATTTTCTCTTTTATATCTCTTACAAGTTTTATGTAATAAATTTTATTTTAGCCTACAGTTATTGATTGCTTTATGCTACAATTTCCTTTCACCAGATCTGCCTATAGATTTTCATCTTGTATATGTTACTCAAAGTTTTCAGCAATTATGAGATTTTATGTGATATTCAGTTTATTATGTTGGAGGTATTATAAACGCACATTTTTATTTTCATACAAATTATATCCAGATTATTTTAACATTGCTTATTCTTTTAATCCTTTTTTTATTTGGCAACTAATTCTAACTTTCTTTTAATATTTTGTGTACGTGTTTTGTAGTATAGTTAATGCAGTTAACTTCTCCCTTAATTTATTTTTAAATCAGTAGAGTTCCTCTAAATTACCAAAATAAAACAGTTACAAATTGTTTCAGGTAAAATGGCATATTATGATTTAGGTTGGAAGCTATCTGCTTGAACTTCAGTGAAAATATTAGTAATGATTATATGAAAAACTTGTGTGTTTGTTAATAGTAGCAACATGTGGTGTGTGTGTGTGTGTTTTATGAATCTGTTCTTTTACAAAGCCTTAAAGAACATGCTCTTCCCAACAAACTCTAAAAATTGGTTCTATGTATTATAATCAGCAAACCAAGCACAAAGAAATGGCACAACAGGTTGATTTTTTTTTGTGTGGTTATGTTTAAGCTTCTAAATGCTGTTAAAATTGGTTTTGTTACATTTTTGGAACAAAGTTGGTCAGTTAATCTTCAGAGGCATTATATTCATCAAAACAGAAAGGGATTATTAACCATTACTTTGGTAATATGCAGCACATCACCCTTTTGTGAACTTATTGCAAATTCTGCAATTAATCAAGGTTCAGAAACTTCTGTACATTATATATCTTTTAAAAACTTCCAAAAAACATGTGTGCTCTGCTGCAGGGCTCAAAGATCCCTCTCATGATTAACAGAGGCCCCAGCGCACTGAACAAGCTCCTTTGTTGTACCAAGTCATTTCTATAGCTACCCCAAGAAGTGGCCCATACCCAAAAAAATCCTATTAGGTCACTTGCATGTGTGCCAAGTTTGGGTTTGTTAGGTTTTGGGTAGGGGATATAAACACAGTTTCAAAATTGTTGCCCCCAGGATTCCGAAGATGGCCAGAAACACAATATTCAAAGCCAGATTTCAGTTCAGCATCCCAACAAACCTACTCCTAGACTCCCATGCTTTGATGATTTTCCGAGCATGTATTTAATCTCTCCTCCCCATCCTGATACCCTAAATAAGTAAGGGTACAACATATAAATAAAGCAACCCAGTTCAGGCCGTCTGAAGTCTGCCTTCCAAGTTTGGTCCTCTTAGCTCCAAAAGTATGAGAGGAGATCATGAGCAAACAACTTCACAAATACAACATGAATTAATATGAGACACATGACCAGTTTTTATGGACAGTTAACTTCTTATGTTAATGGTGATATTCAGAGATGATCTTTGCACTTACTTCTTCAAACTCAATACATTCCACTTACAATTGCTATTCTTAAGCATCTCATTACTGCTTACTTCTTGAGGACAAAACTACAAAGACTTGTTACTTGCACTTTTTGTGAGTCTAAACAACATATTTTGACATGCCCTTTTTGTGTAGGAATCAGCGAATACTTATGTGTTAAAGATTTATTTTTTTGGTGAAGTAAAACAGACTCAAAACCCTATAGAAATTAATACATGCTTTCCTTGAGTACTTAAAAATGACCTTCTTTCAAAAGTCACTGCAGTATTATGAAAAACATTGTTTACCAGTGGAATCTGTCAACTATGTTGTCAAATACATTGATTTAAAACTTTTATTAATGACAAGCAATTGAATTTCTAGCATTTTACCTGAAATAAATTGTATTGAATTTATTTTTATTTTTACTTAATGCTGTTTTTAATTGATATTTACTTTGGTATTATTACAATTAGAGATTAGAAGAGCCAGAATCAAATAAGAGTTTGGCATAATCATACTTAAGTGTAATTTGTGTATGCTTTATTTATTAAGCTATTTTTGTCATGCTTCATTTCTAAATCACTTTTTTTCATCAATGTGCGTGTCATATGTTAATGTATTTTGATTATATGTTTTGTCCACTGTAACCTTGGCTGCTTTTTTTTTTTCTTTTTGATGGTGTGCTGAAATGAAAAGAACCAATGTATATAATACAAGCTTACATCCCTCTACCTCTGCTGTTACCACAACATCCATCACCATGACATCATCATCAATGCCATCTTCCATATCTGCAGTTCCTCAAGACATGTATCTGAGGTGGTCCTGTTTGAGTTCTTTCTTTTTTTACCTCTTATTCCTGCTTAAGTGTGTGATGTACAAATTGTTATATTGTGTTGTCACCTATGTTTTATTTTATTTTTTGCAATAATCAAATTTTCATATTTTTTTGTTTTGTTTTTTGCTTTTTGTTCAGCAGTAATTTCATGAAATTTTTGTTCCAGTTATTACATAATTTTTAAATGCTTGGTTTGAACTTGTAAAAATTTCAAAACAGTCATTGTTAGCATTCTAAAACAATTTGAAACAAAAAACTACCTTTCATAAATATTTGCATACAGTTACATACAACATAAAGAAAAGTTTTCTGCGAAGGAGGAGGATATAAAAGTAGTAGTTCTGAATTTGTAAGCATTCAGAGGGATCATGCATTTTGTATTAGAAATATTACCTTTTAAGATGTAAGTATTTGTAAGGTAGATAAAAATGTATGTTATCTATAAGTCAGTAGTATTTGCTCAAAATATGTTCTTTAAAGTCTTGCTTAGTTATAAAGAGTTGAAAAGCATTTAAATGAAATTCAAATGTCTTGGGTAAGCGGGAGTATTTTGTGAACTTATGTGAGAAAAAGAGGTATTATAGGAGTTTTTTGTTTTAGCTTTCACTTTATAAAATGTGATTATACTAAACAATGCAAATTCTTGCCAATTGTTTCAGTATTTTATAAAACAAAAAAGGTTCTTTATTATCATGAAGAAAATCCTCCTGTTTTAGATTTCTGTTGTACATAATTTAAAACATTTTTGTTTTATCGTTATTCACTGATATCAACAAAGATGAATCACATAATTTTATTTTGATAATTTAAGCAGCTCGTATTGTTTGAATAAATGTTTCCTTGTGAGATATTGGTCCAGCTTATGTCGGATTGAAAGCATGCTATTCATGCTTAATAAAAACTAGCAATATTTTGTCTCATGGTATTTATAAGAAATAATTACATTTCTAACAATTAAAAAAGAGCTATTTCTGTTTAGATCTAGTAGTAGTAACAGCTGTTTCTGTTTAGAATATGGGTCAAAGAATACTAACAGAGAATTTTTGTAGAGATCAATAGTTTAACAGTGCTTTTGCTACCCTGAATACAGGTATAACTGTTAACATAGCTATTTATAGTTAGGACTCGGCTCTAACAGTAATTCTAGTTAGGCCAAAGGTCTGACTGTGCTAACAGAACTGTTTCTGTTTAGAACTTGGGCCTAATAATAATAACAGCATTTATAATTAGTACAAATATCTAAATAGCTGAGCTAACTGAGATTCTTTTTAGAGCTGGGGTCTAGCAGTAATAACAGAGTATTTCTAGTTTGACCAAAGGTCTAATAATTATGCTAACAAAACTGTTTCTCTTTATAAGTCAGGTGTAACAGTAATAATTGAATATTTTTATTTAAAACAAAGGTTTAACAGAGGTATTTAGAATACAGGTCTAGCTGTTAACCAGGGATGAGATTTGGCTGCAGTTGGACAGACTTTCACCATTCCTGTTGTCAAATTGCCCATTCACCAAATTATTTTCAAATGTTGAGGGTGGGAAGTGCTGGGGTTAGAGACAAAAGAGTAATACTGGGTTTTGTTTTTCTGTTCCCCAAGTTTTGCCAGAGAAAGAATATTTCTTTCATGGTTAACAGCTATTTTTGATTAAAATACAGATGTAACAGATCTGTTACTGTTTAGTTCATGAGTTTAATAGTTTTATGAATAGTCTATATTTAGAACATGAATCAAAAATTGTCAATGTAATGTTTCTGTTTAGAACACAAGACTTGATAGTGTTAATAGAAATGTTTCACCGAACATGATGTTTTTCCTTGGTTATGAGCAAATTATCAAAAATATTAAGTTGTATATGATTCACTTCATAAAATATGTTTTCTCTTTATGTATTTTTCTTTTTTTGTGATATTACAATGTTAAATTTATAAATATTAAGCCAGTTACTGTATTTTTTTTTCAATGAGAAAAGTAATCATGCACCCAACCTTCTACCAGGATGGGTGCAGATTGGCTGTATGGCAGAGCTCTGGTTTAATGAGCTAGTGAGCCAGGTTCAAATCTATGTGATACCGCAAACTATTCTCTGCACTTTTAAGTTGTGAGGGCATTATAAGAGTGACAGTCAATCCCATAGTGTGGATGGCAGGTGGTAGGGTGCTGCTGATTGGCTGCTTTCCATTTGATCAGTATTTCAAAAATTAGAAATGGTGGCAGATAATCCTAGTAGTTTTTCCATAATAGAAGAAAAAAAACACTTCTAGAACATAATTTGTCTTTTACACTTGTAATTATGTTTTATGGTATTATCGAATTCTAGATATTGGATTTATGTGCTAATGTTAATTCTTAATGTCAATTTAAATGGTTAAAATAGTAAGCTTTTATTTTCATACCTTCTTTCATAATTTTTCATGTATGAATTGCTATATTGCAAAATAACCTGATAGGCAATTGATGTGTTTGGAGGAAAATGATGTTTCACAATAAAGAGGATAAGGATACTTAAGATAACCAACATTGTTTATACGATTATATGGAAATGAGTCACTGCATGTTTACCGTGCCTGTGAAAAATGGGAATTTAAAATTAAAAAAGTTTTGTGTCCCTTATGTTATAAATAAACTATGTTGTTTATCTTAAATGTCATTATACTTTTTATTGTGAAACCTGATAGGCTTACTGATACAAGTGTTTTTTTTTTCTCGATTTTTATTAAGAAACACACCATCTATTCTTAAACATTTTTTCATCCTGTAGTTAGTTTATACTTTATGATGGATTATATTTTTATTTGTTTATTTAGTAGATGCATAAACACCAAAGATAACATTTGAAGCTTTCTTTCAAAGATATAATCTCTCCCATGACCTCTGATCAATCCAGATATTAGTTTATTTCTAAAAAAAGTCACTCAAAGCAAACTTTTACTTTTTGGAAATTATTTGTTTTACATACTTAAATTCATACGAAATTACTCTAAGGTCTAGAAAACGTTTAACAAATAATGTGAATTATTTTGTGAATCCTCACAAAACCAAACCTTGTAAGAATGAGGAAAATTCTCCTTTAAAATATATAAGAGATTGGGGGTTTTTTGTTTTAATATTACCCCCTGAAAATTCAGCCCTGACATTGAATTAATAATACAAGAAAACTGGTTGTAGGAAAAAAAATAAAGCTTATTTTGCTGCTGATCCTTCATCTTAGCTCTGCCAACTCTTCCCAAGATTCCTTGCACAAAACTACACCAAAGAAAAAAGGTCTGAAGTCCTCTCTTGGAAGATTTTTTAGTAAAAAGGACAAAGTAAAAACAAAAGATGCCTTAAGTAAAGAAATCATACAACAAGGTAGGAGAATTGACTTTTAAAATCAAATATAGAATACACTTTACTCTGTTTGACTGTCACATTGACAGTTAATTTACTTTAAGGTTGTTTATTTATTGCCTCTATTGAAACTTTAATTTTTTAACATAATAGTTTTAATTGAAAGATTAATTTATGTATTTAATTTTTCTATTAAAACTGGTTTTAAAACACCCAAAACTACATTTTATATCAGTTGAAAAGTAAATAATGCTATCCTTATTGAACTGAAATGTGATTTTTTTTTATTTGTAAAATAAAAGTAGTGAAAATTTAACTGAAACACTAAAAAAAACTGAATGTCCCACTAGTGGCTTAACAGTAAACTTGAGAGCTTGTAATACTAAAATTTGGGGTTTAGTCCATGTAGTAGCCACTCTGCAGGTAGACCAATGTACAGCTTTAAGCTTAAACAAGTAAACATACTGAAGTATACTTTAATATCTAAACAATGTTTAATAAAAATCACTCTTAAAAGTAATAACGTTTTTAATAACATCATATTTTTATAGACTGTAGAGTCACACTAAAATTTTATTTTGTTAGCATCTTTATTAAATATGTAATTCAGTTACTTTGTCTGTTTGCCTTTTCATTTTGTTATGTTACTTCAACTGTTCATAAACAGGTTGCTTTGTTCTGCTACTCATTTCCAGTCCACAAGATTTTTAGGAAAGCCTGTAATTCACCTCTTTGTTTATCTTATCTTGCGCAGGTGCTACTTACCAGGAGAATGACTTATTAGTGGCTGATTCATTAGGTTTAACTGGTGGTTTGGGTCAGAAAGCTGACGTTGATCGACGTACAAAGAAAAAGTAAGTAACACAAAAGTTCAATATTCAATAACTGGGTTGCAGCTTGAAAATAACTTCCATTCATAAGACAACTATTAGGCAGTCATCTGAGAGTTGTGTAAAAAGTTACATTGTAAAAATGTATATAGTTTATCATAAGAATATGCTCTTTGACCTGATTAAATTTTACTTTTTGGAATTTTATTCTTCTGAGGGTTTCTATCTAGAATAATAAAATAGTTTGAAAATATAACTTATTGAAGATATTTACTTATGACATGTGTATTTTCTACTTTTTGTTCTTTTTTTTTTATCCTTTGTAGGGTGAGAAAATTGTTTTACAAATAAAAAGGATACCACCAAAGAACACAAGTTTTTACAGTTTTTTATGCTATACCTGCTTGTGTGCTTCTTTCTAAGCTAAAATAATTTATTTGTAAATAAAAAAAGTAAAATCCTCTGAGAAATAAATCATGAGGCATTTACCTGTAAAAAATGAAATGGTACTATGTAGTTATAAATATTTCTTAATTTTCACAGAAGTATAGTGATGCATCAGTCACAATAACCTCAAATTGGGTCTACAGCTGAACAAGTATGTACAAATTACTGTTCTTGGACACCCCTGCGATTGTGGTTGTAACTTCTAAGCAAGGTTTATGATAAACCCCTTAACTCAGGATTTTGTATACATTTTAATAATTTAATTTTGGATAGTTTTAAATGTAATATTGTCACTGCATTAATCACTAGTACACTCACAAAAGCCAGCTCTAAATTTTTCCCAAAGAAGAATTAGAGTCATTAGAGTTCATAAAAGAAAAACTACAATTGAATACCCCTCAAGATGGATTCCTGTATATGGTGAGAGGACCTCCCAAGGAAGGTTCTGTATTTTCAGTTTACCTCCTCTGGGATCTGAACATCCACTCCCAGGTTTCACATGCATTGGCATCCCATGAAAAGGATGAGAGGATCCTGGTGGTTGAGGGCTGTCATTGAAGTGTCATTTTATATTGGTGGCACTTCAACACATCACTTTGGCCTTGAATTCCTGTAGGCTGATGGCCTTGGGGTGGCTCCTCCAGGGTCAATCTGCTCTACTTTAGCATTGTAGTGCATCCCCTTGTAGGACTTCACGGTGGGTGGGGTCAGCAGGCACTGAAATTTCCTTATTCATATGAATCCTGCACCCAGTGACCCAAAAAAAACAAACCCCATTGATAGGACAGCAACCATGTTTGGAAGACTCTGAACAGCAGTTACCACCCCAATCTGTATCTGTACCTTGTTTCTTCATTCTGCATTCTTTGTCTGACAAACCTTTTGGGCAAATGTCTCCATTTTTCATTCAGAGTGGATTAGAGGGGCTTGCTGGCTCTCTGAAATCAGTTAAGAAACTATGTTCTGGGGACTTCTTGGTGGAAACATCTACATCAAAACACAGGAATTCCTTCTAAAATCAAAGGTTATTGGGGACATACTTATTGGGGTTACTCCCCACTTTACTTTGAGTTCTACATGGTGAGTTATCATTGAGAAAGATTTAAGGAATATTCCTGAGTCAGAGATCCTCCTGGTTTCTCCAACCAAAGGGTTTCTGATGTGTGACATATCTCCACTCATAAAGATGGAGTTGTGCTGCCTACTAATGTCCTTTTTTCGGCTTTTACATTGCCACATCTGCTTGCCACTGTCAAGGCAAGTTATCTGAACTGTAAGGTACAGCTTTATATTCCTAACCCTCTCCGGTGTTTCCAGTGTCCATGGTTTGGACATTCAAAGGCATTTTGTGGTTCTTTGATGTGTGCCTGTTGTGTTGTCAAAGACCATGACACCTACAAGTGTCAACTGGACCCTCAATGTGTGAATTGTGGTGGTTCTCACCCCTCATACTTTGCTTCTTGCCCTTAATGGGTGGAGGAAATAAGATACAGTGCTTGAGGACTCTCAATAACATTTTTTTACCCTGAGGCTTGGCGTTGTTGTCCCCTGTTCCATCTCGAACATATGCTGCTGCACTCTGTTCCACTGCTACAGTGGGAATGCAGACAGATCTTTCCATGCCTTCATCAGAGTCTTTCTCACACCATGTTAAGAGTCTTTTGTTCTATGTGGATGCAAGATTTGACAGATCTATGTCTACTCCTGCCTCTGTCTCCACCATCGTTTCCAGTGGCTGCTCGGGTCCATCTCCTTCAGCCCTGAGGTACAGAACCACTATTTGGTCATGCCCTCGGTCACCAGAGTCTCCTTCTTCTGATGGAGATCTGCCCAATCATCCAAGAGCAGGTTCCATGGAGGTCGACAGACCTCTTTCTGCTAAAGACAAATGTTATGGTCATGAATCGTAGGAGTTCTCCGTCCAGTTCTCCTCCACCTAAATAAAGTTGGCCACTAGATACAAGGGAACTGTCGAGGTTTTCATTCTAATTTGAATGACATTCAGGCCTTGATTGATTCCTATCATCCTGTATGTGTCTCTTTGCAAGAAACATTTCTTTGACCTGCTGATACTGTCACCTTTTGGCAGTTTTCCTTGTATAGGAATGACAGGTTGTGTGATGGTCGAGTTCATGGAGGTGTGGCACTGCTGGTTGACTAGCACATACCCATCTTGTCTGTGCCACTGTATATGCTCCTGGAGGCTGTGGCCATCGATATCTCTGTAGGTCGTACCATCACTGTATGCTCTCTTTACCTGTTTTCAGGAGAGACTTATGATTAATCAGATCTTAGTGATCTTATTTACCAGCTGCCATCTCCATTTTTCATCTTGGGGGACTTTAATGGACACAATCCTCTCTAGTGGTACTGTTATTGATGGTAGGGGTTGTTCTGTGAAGCATATGCTCTCAGATCACAACCTTTCTCTTTTCAATACTGGTTCTTTTACCTATTTTCATGCTCCTAGTTAGTCTTTTACTGCTATTGATATATCTGTTTCTTCCCCTTTACTTTTTGTCTTGGAGGGTTGACAATGATCAATGGAGCAATGATAATTTTTCCATTGTTTTGAGGGAGATTGTCTGTGAACGATGCCACCCGATCCATATGCCATGGTGGAAGCTGGAGCAGGCTGACTCTCCTTCACCATTCTCTCAGAACTTGATCCTGCTGTCAATATATTAATCACTGTGTGGAAGCAGTAACTGATTGTATTATTCAAGCAGCTGTTCTTTCTATCCTCAAAACCTTGACATGTTTCCTACAGTATCCTTGTTCATGGTAGGCTCAGAAATGGGCTTGGGACATTTTTCGCAGGTAAACCACTCTTTCTAACCACATTACATTCCAGTGGGCCCATGCCCATACTTGGCAGGTCAGACATCAAAGCAAGAAGGAATCTTGGATTAAGTTCACCACCAGCATCTCTTCTATCACCAGTTCCAAAGTTGTCTGGGACAGTATTCAGAAGGTAAATGGGAAGTATGCTTCTCATCTTGCTCTCCAGTGGTCAGAAGTTGCTGATGTACAGAGCATTGCCGATACTGTTGGGGAATGCTTTCCCCACCTTTCTAATACTTCTGTCTCATCTCACACCTTGGCCATCAAGTCTCAGGCTTAGAGATCACCTCCTTCCTTTCAGACAGATCATCTCTATGATTATTGTCAGATATAAAAGACTGTATAGTGTACGTAGTATTAATTATTTATTTTGTCAGTTAATATTTCATGATTGGTTAGTTTTTTAAAATAAGAGAGTTAAAGCAGATTATTATTGGAAGATGTATTTGTGAGTCATTGATGTCAAGGCTATGGAGATTTCTAGAATGCCTCAGTGAGAGATATAAATAGCGGCGACCAGAGAGCAGGAAGAGATCCAAAAGTAAAGCTGAGTGAAAGAGTGTTTCATTTAGAGAAAGGTTAGAAAATTTAAAATTAACCATTCTAGAAGTGAATAGCCTAATGGTTGATCTGTTAAAGTGAGATTAACAGTGTTCTGACATTTTAGGAGAATAATTTGTCTCATCATAGGGTGTTCGAAAGTAATTGAACCTGCCAGTGTGGACTTTGACAAAAAGCAAACAATTATTTGGAAGTAAGCCTGAAGACAAAAAGCAAACGAGTATTGGAAGTTCAGAATACAACTGTGGTAACTCAACGACAGTGTTGTGATCACTGTTGTGATAAAAATAGAGTGTGTGAAAGAGAGAAAAAGGGATAAGTGAATTATACACTGATAGTGTTTAAGAGAAAAAGAGTTCAGCTTGTCAACTGAATTCAAAATTGAAGTGGACTTTTGACAAGAAGAAGAGAACTGTATAGTATGTAAGATTCAATGATGATATATGTGATGTAAAGAATTTTTATACATACATTTAACTTGTTTTGGATATATTTTAAAACAAGCAGTGCGTGCTGTTCATTTATAGTTGAATTTGTTGCCAACAAGTCACAGACACCTACTTTAGAAGAATCCTTAGCCCAACATACCCATATGTTTTAACTGACAATATGTATATATATATATATATGTATATACATATAACATAAAAAAAAAAGTTTACCTGACAATTATAACCATCTATTTATGCTGGTGGAGCTTGAGACTACTTTTCATTGGTCTGGCAGTACATCAGTTGGACCTGATGATGTTCACTATGAGATGCTGCACCATCTCTCTCCTGCCTCTCTTGGTCTTCTGATTGTTTTTAACCAGATTTGACAGTAGAATGTTCTCCCTATTTCAAAGACTGGGAAAGATTCCAAGATTTCTTCTAATTATTATTCAATTGCTTTGACTAGCTGCCTCTGTAAAGATTTGGAGAGGATGGTAATCCATGTTTTGTTTAGTTCATTGAATCAAACAAACCTCTATCACCCACCCAGTCTCGTTTTTGTCAACAGTGCTCCACCGTGGACCACCTGATTCATCTTGAAACCTTGATCAGGGAAGCCTCCCTCAAGAGAAAGCATCTTGTTTCTGTCTTCTTTGATCTTGAGAAAGCTTATGACACTACATGGAGGTTTGGCATTTTGCGAGACCTCCACTTCTATGGGTTGTGTGGCAATTTTCTCAATTTTATTCATAACTCTTTACTTTACAGGCGAATCAAAGCCCATGTGGGTTTGACCCTGTCCAATTCTTTCACACAAGAACTTAAGAGTTTCTCAGGGTTGTGTCTTGAGTGTCACCTTTTTTCAGCATCAAGATCAATGCTATCACTAAACGATTTCCTCCTACTGTTGCAAATGGCCTCTATATTGATGACTTCCACATTTCTTATTGGTTGTCGAACATGAGGTTTATTGAGGGGCAGCTTTAGACCTCTCTCTCTCTCACTTGTTAGGGTGGACCATAGCAAATGGTGTCACTTTCTCTTCTTCAAAACCATTTGTGTCGATTTTTGCCCCTAGCGAGGTTTACACCCTGATCCTGAGTTCCATCTAAGTGGTGGTATTCTTCCCATAGTTCCTGAGATAAAGTTCTTGGGTCTTCTGTTTGACCGCAAGCTGATTTATTACTCCCATTAAGCAGCTTCGTGTAAGGTGTACACAGGCACTGAACATCCTTCATGTCCTCTCTTCCACCTTTTGAGCAGTGGATTGATGTTCCATGCTCAAGATCTATCATGCCCTTAGACAGTCCAAACTGGACTATGAGTCTCCAGTCTATGGTTCTGCCAGCTCCTCTGCCTTGAAGATGTTGGATGCTGTACACCATCTGGGGGTTTGACTCTGCAAGGGGACTTTCCACACTTCACCAGTCCAAAGTCTGTACACCAAGTCCCCTGAACCTCCTCTTCACCTCCAACATTTGCAACTTTCTTTACAATATGCTACCAAACTTTGATCCTTACCCACCTGAGGTTGTGTCTTCCTTCCTTGGTGGGCTGTGCTGTTTCAAAATAGATGGTCTGCCATTCCTCTTTTGGGCTTGCGTATCCAGTCACAGCTGTCAGAACTGGGTCTATAATTGGATGATGTTACTGAGTCCAATGATCAGCCCATCCCACCAAGGCTCATTACCATCCCTACCTGTGACCTTTCTTTGAGTCATCTGAGGAAGTCGGATATTCCCAACTAGAAGTACCGTCTTCTGTTTGCCAAACATCTTTTGAACCATTCTTCTATTCCTGTTTTTATGGATTGTTCGAAATCAGGTGACTCTTTTGGCTCTGCCATGGTTTTTTGTAGCTTGGTGATTGCTCATAGGATCCCTTCTTCAGTTTCTGTGTTCACTGCTGAGTTGTATGCAGGATTGTGGTATTGCATGGTTCTACTGAATGATTAGTTGAGTTACATTTTTTCTAGTGGCAATACTTTTTTTTTGAAGTGCTAATTACCTTGTTATTCTTAATTTCAGACATGAATTATTAGCAGAAGCAATGAAGGCAGGAACTCCATTTGCTCTGTGGAATGGTCCAACTATAGTAGCATGGTTAGAGGTGAATAGAAAGCTTAATTTTAACATTTCTTATGAAATAAATGAAAAATTAATTTTGTTTATTTCAAAAACTAAAAAATGACATGGAAAATACCAGGCTGGAAGAGCAAGATCTTGATATGTTATTGTAATTGTATATTTTCTGCTCTTTCTCTCAGAAGTAAGCTTCATGTATGCATACTTGTGAGCCAATGATGTGGATTTGTTGTGAAATTTTGGCTGATGAGCATTGTTTTGTACACAACCACCTACATTTAAGTCATTAGTTTAGTTTGTTGTGTTTTAGTGTTACAAGACATAAATGTATTAATTTCTTCAAAATTAATGTGTTTTTCATTAGTTTATTTTCTTTAGCCTGATTTTGTATTTTGAAAATATATACTTGTGTATATGGAATAAAACTTACACCATTTATCAATATCAGCAATTGTTGAATCAAAGGATCTTTTTTATAGGCTTTGAAAAAATATTTTTGTCTACCATATAGAATAGAAAGATATTTGAGAAATTAACAAATTAAAAAAATGTAAAATTTGTCAGTGGCACATAAGTAACTTCCCTTAAACATTTTGAGACAGATTTTTTAGATCAGTATTTTAACATTTTGAATATTTAATTTTTTTTTCTTAAGCCATTAATTATAAAACTTTATTTATACTTAACAATACATTTTTATTATCTGAAGCTGTGGGTGGGGATGCCACCCTGGTACGTTGCAGCTTGTCGAGCCAATGTCAAAAGTGGTGCCATTATGTCAGCATTGTCTGATACAGAAATCCAGCGAGAGATTGGTATTAGCAATCCTCTGCATCGACTCAAACTTCGCTTAGCCATCCAGGAAATGGTTGCTCTCACCAGCCCATCGGCAGCTAAACCTTCCAGAACAGTAAGTAGAATTAATATTGAAATTTTCTCAGAAAAAAAAACACCCACCAAACATTCTAGAACAATACATGGGCTTGATGTTATAACATCATTAGATCAACCATGTACTGAATCTTTCAGGTTACCTACTAAACATGGCTGTTTTAGACGTTATTGACAAGTAGAATGACGTTTTGGATCACTTTTGTGTTTCTGAAGAAAGAATACAAGAATGATCTGAAACATTGTTCAACTTATATTATCAGGCATTTTGTCTGCATAACTTGACTTTGCATGTTTTTTAACTGAACTTAATGTTAAATCAGTCTATAACAGACTTGGTATTAAAATAGACAACTACTAAACATTCCAGAACAATAGGTAGACATGATATTTAAACATCTACAAAAAAATCAGCTTAAATATTCTAGATATAGTTTGAAATGTCCTCATGAAAAATTATTCCACTTAATATTGCAGAATTGTAAGTAAACTAGCATGAGGGAATCACTTGTCAAACATTCCAGAACATTAAGTATACATGGTATGAAAATATCATCAGAAAATTAGCAACTAAGTCTTTTGAGATGTTAATTAGGTATAGTGTCAATCATAAATTGGTGGTTGTTATCAACTAGAAAACCTTCTAGAGCAAAATGTTATTTCTTAAACCAACAATTAGTAAACCTTCCTGTGCAAAATGTCTTAAACTAGCAGTTGGAAAACCTTAAAAGAGCAAAAGGTTTGTCTTAAACCAGCACTTATAAAACTTTACAAAGTTGTGTCTTATCCATCAATTAGGAAACCTTCTGGTGTCAGAGGCAGTTATTTCAAATGAAGCTAAAATATTGTTCATAAGTTGGCATTTCATTGAGACTCATTACATATATGTGAAACAAACTTGAATCGTTAGTGTTGTGCATAGAACTGCAACTTGTAGTTACAGAAAAAAATAGGTTTAAAAGAAATAATGATCCTTACTGCAACTGGACAATGAGCTGGCTTTATAAATGAAAAATACTAATAAAAATTTAGTTTTTTAAGTTATGTATTCATGAAACATCTTTAAGATACTAGGTATTTTATAAAACTGTTAAATGGTAGTTTTATAGTGCTGCTGTACTTCTGGAGCTTAGTGAATAGATAGCAGTACTACTAACATTTTATTGACGTGTCTGCAAGGTTTAGTGGATTTCAGCTTGAACCAGGAATGTGAGTAACAACAGGAGGAGGATCAGACGTTTTTACTTGATTTTTTCTTTTCACATATTGATGAAAATAACATAAATTTTTAAAATATAACTTTCTCTGGCACAAATATATTCTTTAATATTAATAATGGTTTTAAAAATTTTACTAACCGTAATATACAAGTAGTTGTTACTCTTAAAGAAAGTAACACATGCTTCAGCTCCTAGAAAGCTCAGCTAAAGAAAGCTTGTAACTCCAGTTGTAAAAGACAATACTGTGTTTTTGATAGACCATTAAAAGTATTATTAACCCCTTCCATATCAGGCATTTTTTGGTAATGAGCTCAACAAATTTTGTGTGTTTGTTTTATCATACAAAGTAATGAAACCAAAGATCTTTTATGATTTACTATTATATTTCTGCACAAAATATACTCGATAAATAAATATTACGAACCTGGATTTATACTGATATATATTATTTCAATGAAAATACAGTAAAAATTATGAATGATTTTCTCCAGTGTTTATGATGCATAATTCAAAATAAATCCAATAGAGATTAGCACAAACATTTCCAATGCCATCTAGCGAGCAATGATTGTAATACATGACAACATGCAAATAAATTCAGTGAAATAATTAGAAATATGGTGAAAAATGGTTTGCCCTAATTAACTCAAGCAACTATTTTTTGAAACATGGAGAGTCCTTGAGTTATCTTGAACAAATCACGAAAGGAGTTAAAGTAGTCAGATCTTTAATGGTATGTGTTAGTGTATATATACATAGAACAGGAAATATATACATAATTTGAAAGTAAGTTCCATGATTCTCTAATTAAACATGTTTTCAAATCATGCATTTTTTTTCAAATGATAAAAATGCACGATTTAACATGTTTATTGAAGTAGGATATTACCAAATTACATATTGTTCAAAATCATTACATAACTAAAGAAAAACAAGTACAAATGAAATATTTTGTGTCAAACACATTTTTTTAAACTTATTTCAAAAAACTTGGGTTATAAAAAATTGTATGGAAGTTTTTCATTGTTATGCAACTTAAGTTTAGCAGACATTGCACCTATTCCAATTTTATGAATTAATTCATGAATATTAATTTTATTAGCCTCTATAACTATTTCTGTGGCATAGTATATTGTGACCTACTAATTTTCTGTTTGAATCTGATTCACTTAGATATTGAAACTTTTGACAGTAAGAACTTTCTTATAAAAAGTCAAAGTTAGTATACTAGTAAAGTTCATGTATAACACACTGCTGCCTCTATTGTAATGACTAGTTTTGCCAAATTATGTTTAAAATCTCTCCTACTAAAAAAAGTAGTTTTAGAAGTTATGACTTTTCTAGTCTTGTTAAGTGAAAAGTCAGTTTATGTGTTCTTCCTAAATACCAACTTTAAATTATCACTGATTAGTAAAACTCTACAGTTTATGTTTTTAAACAAATTGCCATCTTTTCTTTTCTTAAGTAAAGGATATAAGTAAATAAAATGTAAAATGTACTACTTCTGGTATTTGTGCTGGGTCCTGAATTCTTTTGCTAACTTTTTTCTGTATGTTTTTTAAAATAATTATTAGTGTGTATGTGTAGCATGTTGTTCAAAATTTATATTACATATATTTTTTTTTTACTGTTAGACTTTAGCATTTGGTGAGATGAATCATGAATGGATAGGAAATGAATGGCTTCCAAGTCTTGGCTTACCACAGTACAGATCTACTTTCATGGAGTGTTTAGTTGATGCCCGAATGCTTGATCATTTAACTAAAAAAGATTTGCGAGTCCATCTGAAAATGGTGGATAGCTTCCATAGGTGAGTAAGTAAGTTTAACCAAAAACTCCATGAAATTTATTTGTACATTGTATACCTGGCCTTTAGAGAAGTGAGCAGTTGCTTTAGAAGCTACAGAACATGAATATACACATGTGTGTTAGAACAATATCAGTGGGAAATGTAACTCTTACCCTCTGAGAAATGTTCAATAAATACAATATATAACAAAAGTGTACTACTAAATGAACTCTATAATTTCACCTTTTGAATGTGCAAAAGACTTAACTGTTTATAGGTTGTGTGTAATATTGAATAAGTTTTCATTAAAAATAAAATAATGACTTAATTACTACAGTTAAACTGAGTATTTCATTAAAAAAATGTTCAGTCAGGTTAAAAGTACAGAAAAAAAAATATATATATATATATACGCACACACACACACACATATTATTTTTTAGATAAAATCCTGAACAACTTCTATATCCAAACAATTCTATATCCATTCTTATCAATGATACTTTTCCATCTTACAGTTAGGTTGTTAATGCCCTGATTAAAGAAATTACTTGGCTTTGAAACAAAAAACATGTCGATGTCCTCTTTAACACCTTCTACATTTGCATAAGATTTCCCATTAAGATGGTTTTGCAGCGAACAAAAAAGATAGTAATCTGATGGTGCCATATCTGGAGAATATGGTGGGTGAGGGAGAAATTCCCAACCCAACTCCATAATCTTGTGTTGAATCAAATGTGCCACATGTGGATGTGCATTGTTGTAGAGAAGAAGAACACCTTTCCGATTGACGAGTGAAGGGTGTTTCTGACGAAGGGCTTGATTTAAATGTTCCAGTTGCTGAAAATAGATCTCTGCATTGACAGTTTGCTGTGGATTGAGGAGTTCGAAATGAATTACTCCTTTGATGTCCCACCAAATGCAAAGCATCACTTTCTGCAGATGGAGTCCAGGTTTTGGGTCGGAAGTGGTTTTTGTTTAGGACTGAGCCATTGTTTTTGCCATTTAATATTTGCATAGAGAATCTATTTTTCATCACCAGTGAATATTTTGTCCAAAAATGGTTCACGCGCATTACTTGCGAGAAGAGATGAAGCAGTGTTCATACATTGGAAATGATGATCATTGGAGAGTTTGTGAGGCACCCAAATACCTTCTTAAGGAGAGACATGCAATTTTAGGTCTATTTCACAAGTGTGTTGCCTTGGGTTAGACTCGACAAGCGTCTCCAGAGCATCAATATCAATTCCAACATGTCATCTTCTGCCATCACAGTTTTTAAGGCTAAAATCACCTAAATGAAATTTGCTGAACCATCATTGACACTTATGAATGTTCAAAACATTTCCATAAACTTCTTTGATATTCTTTGTGGCTACAGAGGCATTGTTTTCCTTCTTGTGTTCAAATAGCATTACATGCCGAGAATGTGTGTCTCCTCGTGTATAAGGGATTAGAGCATATTAAACTTTACACATTATATAGGCTACCCTAACGTGACATTTAGGAGGTTCGTTTAACTACTATATGTGATATAAATTTTTTGGGGGTGGTTAATGAAAGTGTTACAAAACGTGACATTAATTTCTTGAGGACCTAATCCATATATTTGAAACAGGTATATCAATAATTAGCATTCTATTTTCTTTAACTGTAATCTTGCATGTGTAAGTAATGTGAAACATTTGAAAGAAAGTTCCATGATTCTTTAGTTAAACATATTTTCCGCATCATGCTTTTTTCCTCAGATCATAGAAAAATATATACATGATTTAACATGTTTATTGAAGTATTACCAAATTAATTGTGTCAGTGAACTTAATGATTCTGTAAATGTGACTCTGGTTAAGTAGTTTTGATGTAAGCCTAATAGTTAACTCTTTTTTGTTTGCCATTTTTCATAGTAAACATTAAATTACATTAAATAACATTTACTGTTAAAATATAACTTCACTTTGTTTTTCAACCAAAATTTCAACGAGGAATTAACATGATACTAGGGCTTCAAGAAAGTTCACACATTTCATATGTAGCTGTAAATATGTACTTAGAATATAATTGAAATAATGAAATGGAGTGTAAGCTGTGCACAGCTGTGGTTTGTAGGCATGTCATATGGTTTCTACCTGCTTTAGTTATAATGGAATTTTTAAAATGTTTTCATACAGTTAGTTTTTATGCAGTTTTAGCTCAACCCTCTCGCCATGAGCATCGTTTTGTGTACATGTCACGAGGAGTTACATTCAAAATTTAATTAAACTACTTTCTTATCATGGTATACCAATAAATATAGCATAAACATTTAACCAATTATCCATATTTGGATTGTTTGCAAGCTTTAAGTTCTTAATATTACAAGGCAATATTAAAAAACAAAATTCTGAATTTTCCCTATCATGAGAATTGTGACATTTTCTCTCTAGGCATCCCCTCTTCTGTAATTTATTTTCCACCTCTTCAAGAAGTATGAAATTTAATGTAAATTACTCATTATTATGTTGTCTTCACTCAGGCAAAGCATGATTTTTGTAACCTTCAATCTTATTTGGTTACTGAGCCATAAGCTACAAAATCAGACCCTTCTTGCCATGTTCACCTGTTACATCCTCTGTTTCAGAAATTGCCAAAAGTTCTCTCTGACATTCAATACATGTTATTTATAACCAATAGAAAGACAAGGTTTTACTCTATCAAATGATTTATTATATTGCATTGTTTTCTGTATATAGAATTGTCAGTTTCACTTCTAGTTCAAGCTTTATTCCCATTGGAAACACATTGATGAGATTAGCTGAATTTCTTATGGCTCTTGTTGCATTGTTAGAAAGCCAGAAAATTTGTGATAGTTATGGGATATATTCTGTTATTTGGAGTATTATGTAATTAAATTAAAAATTATATACTGCAGTAATACCATTAGTATTTAAAAAAAAAATAGTAGGGGATAAGTAGCATCAAGATTTGACAGCAAAAAAAAAAGACAATTACCAAGGTAACTACTTTATTTTTTGTTTTTCTGGTGTATTCTTTATTTATTATTATAAAAGTAACTAAAATGTAAAAATAAGGAACTTTTTAGGTTAGTTAAGGTTATATTAGGGAAAATAAATAGTAATGATATAATAAAAAATTTTCACAAGGTTTACTCGTAAGTAGCTTGTGTGTAATGTCATTCGATAGCGTAACGTGAGCTCCACATTCACCAAGTGATTTACAACTTATAATGGCATGAATAGTAGTTAGACATGGTTCAAAGGGTGATAAAACAATAAGATTTATGTATAAATGGATGTATACTGCTTGTGTGTAATGTAATTCAATAGCATAACATGAGCTGCACATTTACCAAGTGATTTACAACTTTTAATGGCACGAATAGTAGTTAGACATGGTTCAAAGGATGATAAAACAATAAGATTTATGTATAAATGGATGTATACTGTTACAAGTTTAAAGCTATTTAGGACAAAGAAATGTAGTTTTATATTACAATTTAAAGTCATTCTGGAAAGAAAAAAAAGGTAATCTAGATTTTTTTTCTTTTTCTTTGGTGGTTATGAAGTTGGTCAAATTGACCAACCTTGTATAGAGTTAGGGTAGAGAAGGTAGATAAAATATAAAGTTTTACTGAAAAAAACATTTGAAATTTATTTAGGAGGTTTTAGAGATTATGGAAATTAAATTTGAAATTATTGTGACAAAGAAAAGTATTTTTAACCTTAACATGGAAATTACTTTGCTGTAGAACTAGTAAAAAAAACTATATATATATTCAGGGACAAATCTTTAGTAAAAATACGTCATTAGAAAATATGATTTTTTGTGTACAAAAGACTTGTAATGTTTACTAAAAGTTTAACAACTTTTGTGAAGATACACATGCTGTAATAAAAGTTATAGTATGGAAACTATAACAAGTATAAAATGGTTAGGAGGTCGGTTAAATTGACTGACCTCATTGTGAAAGAGTTAAACACATGGTTCAGAAAGTCATTGAGATTGCTGTGTTCTAGATGCTTTATTTCTTTGTTCTTTAGAGTAGATTATGTCTATTCTGCTCAAGAGGATATTGCAGTAACATATATAGCAATCTGGGATGAAAGGATTACAGACTGTAATATCCTTTGCTGGTAGAGTTAACATTGTTTAAATGTTACAGACGACCAATTTTTTGAGAGAACAAAGGTCACAGGATGACAATGTTGACTGTACAAAGAAACTGAATTTATCTGTTGAATTCAGGTGTGTGTTTTTTATAGTCCAGTTCTGATTGGAGTTCTTTGAGTAAAGGCATACTTTAAGATTATCATGTTTAGTTTGACAGAAGTCTGTCCTGAAAGAAGGAAAACTGTGGAGCTAATCACAGTCTAGTAAAAGTGATGGTCTTTTCATGTATGGAAGTACACACACTTTTATTTTTTGTTTGTTCTGTAATAAAGATTGCATTCATTTTTTCAAACTTGTTCAGTCCAATTATTTGACACGCACACACAATAGGAAAACTCAGTCAAGTAATTGGATTCATACTACTGTCTTTAATTACTGAGCAAGTATGCTATTTTTACTGAATCTGACTATCTAATACTTGTTGGGAAAGCCAATTTCTACTTGAAAATACCAAACAGCAATCTTTTTTTTTTCTCTCTTTAGTTAGAAATGTTTATTTGTGCAGTATATAGTGTGAGCATAGACTAGAAAAAAAGTAATTTAATCTTATAGTAAAACATTTCAAATCATTAGTTTTGTAATGTTGTTATCTTTATAATTTTGTAACCCCCTTTTTCTTTTTTTTTCACTAGGACAAGCTTACAGTATGGTATTAATTGCTTAAAAAGATTAAATTATGATAAGCAGCTTCTTGCTGAAAGGAGGAGAAACAGTGAACATGAAATCAAAGGTAAGAATATAAGATTAGATTTATTTGTTAACACAGTATTTGTTTTTATGTTATGCTTTACATAATATTTCTTCCGAATTTCAAATATTTTCTTTTTAAGATTTTTACTGCTTCCCTAAAGATGTGAAATAGAAAAATCCTTTTCCTTCTTATTAAGTATGTATGAATTGTTTTTTTAAAGAAGAGTAGATAAGATATCAGATGTATATAGTTTTTAAAATAAAAATCTACAAAATTTCATTCTAGACATAGCTTTAATGAAGCATTATGATTTGATTGTAAAAACGTACATACCAAAGTTGGTAGCTGATCACAGAAATATGCCAGCCATAACTTTAATGAAGCATTATGACTTGATAGTAGAAACAAACATACCAAAGTTGGCACTAATAGCATTGAAAAAGCATATGTATTATGTAATATTTTATAGAAGTATAATAAACTAGACACAGAACATTCTATCCACAAATTTACAAGTACATTTCAAACTGTTCACAGAAACATGCACATTGAGGTCTGTACTAAACTGTTTTATAACTAGTTAGCAAGAAGCAAACATAACAAGATTGTAACTATTTCAATAGTTCTCATACATTTCAGACAGTAACCCCCCCCCTTCTTCTTATGTGGCAATTGATGTCTTCCCACAGATATATATAACTATAGAAATTGAATTCTGTGTGCTGCTCTCCTTGAATATTAAGAAGTGTAGTGCAAGAGAAGTTCAGTCAGTAATGTATCCTATCTCTCCATAACACCTTTAACTCTTCTACAGCTCTAATTACTGAACTTGATCTACATATCCCGGAGGGGGGAGGGAGTCTCAAGTGTCACAACCAAGGCATTACAGCTGTGAAATGGATTTCTATCCATAAGAATAAAATGTATGAGCCACCTAGGGTATTATCAGACCTGCTAGCTCTTATGGTTTAGGCATAATTGTTCAGATTTTTTTTTTTATGCTTGTACGAATTGTTGTGTTATTTTATGTGAAATTCTGGAATTTTTTCATCAACATTTTTTTCTACAAATACTTTTCCAGAAATAATTCACTGCTCTCTGCCTCTATCTTACAAAGTCTTGAAATAGTCTATTAAAAAAACGTGTAAGTAGTGAGTGTGTAGGATGTGTTGAAAATTTTTTGAAGGAAAATGGCAGAAAAATGTGGTTCTGCTTTGTCCCCAATGACTCCAACAAAGAAAAGAACAGTTTATAGTGAGCAAAAGTTTGGGTATTAGTATTCAAAAAAGATCAATGATATTGTATCATCATTATAGGGTATGAATTATGCAAGATGTACAATTTGTGATTTCTTCGTTGCTCATGGAGGTAAAAGTGACATCAAAAACATCTCAACACTAATAAACACCAACAGAATTGTTTGAGGGCATCTGGAATTAATAAATTGGACCCATTTTTTTGTAAAACATGATACCAAATCAGAAAATAATGAGATCAGAGCAGAATGTTTAATCACCTCCTTCATTATGGAACACAATCTTCCTTTGCTGGTTTCGGGCCTTACTTCGCAAATTTTTACCAAAATGTTTCAGGATTCGGAAATAGCTAAAAGATACAGATGCTGTAGAACCAAAACCTTTGCAGTAGTTGTTGAAATGTCCACTGATGGCAGTAATGACATTAACAGTAAACTGTACTCTATTGTTGTGGCATACTTTGATGACAACAAGGAAAAGGTAGTAAATGCACTATTTTCTAATTCCAATTTAATTGGAGAATCAACTGGCAAGAATATTGTCTTTAAAGTTGGAAAATTATGTATCATTAGCTGTTGACAATGCAAATGTGATGATAGGGAGAAAAAAAGGAGTTGCAGGTTATCTTCTGAAACTTAACCCTGAAATGGTGATTAGGGCCATGCCACCTCCTTCATTTGGCAGCAGAAAGGCAGCAAAGAAGTTGCAGTATCAGTTTGATGAAAGTCTTGTTAACATCTATTACTATTTGAATAAGAACATGAATAGGAAACAAAAGTGTAGAGAATTCCAGAATCTATGTGATGTGGAGACTCGAACTATTCTGAAACATGTGTGAACGTGCTGGCTATCTCTTGGAAAATGCTTAAAGAGGTTAATTGAGCAGTGGAGACTTTTGGAGCAATATTTGGAGCCAAACATGATGAAAAGAAAGAATGATGAATAAAGAAAAACAAAAAATCCATCTGAAACCAATGTCTGTTCCATACAGATCAGAGATTTATTGTTTAGAAAAATGCAAAGAAAACCTTCCAAGCATAGGCAGTCTTTTAATGTGTCTCCTGGGTAGGGATCTGGATCTTTAAAAAATGGTTCCTCTGAGAAAATAGCAGACAAAATTGCAAAGGCAAGTGAGAAAGTTCAGACACATCTGACACTAAATCACCAGGAAACTTATTTACAAGAGGAAAGACTTTACAATTTATTTACATCAAGGAAATGTGTTGTATATTCATTATTTCTGAACAATTGTATTCAAATCTTTGATGAGTATAATTTGAAACTACAGTCTGAGGTCCCACTCAACCATTGCTTGTAGAGAATCCTGTTGCTTTTTCAAGGATTTGTTCAGCAGACTTGTGATACCACATGCAATTTTTAATTGTTCATATATTTTGGATTTGAATTACAAAGACAGAAAACTTCAGTTAAAAAATGAGAACTTGGTAATTGGTTATGAAGTTGAACATTTCCTTGCAAAGCTTGTCAGAGGAAGCCAACTTTCTTTCTGTGAAGATGTAATAAATTGCAATGAAACATACAGAAGTAGCAGACACATATGTCAGAAAAAGTTGTTCTGTGGAATTGGTAGAGTACTTTGTTGGAAAATACAAGCCATTCATTGAAAGGGATGCACCTTGAATTGTCTTCAGCAGCAATTTTTCACCTACCAGGCTGATCCATTGACTCGTATGGATCTTGGTGAGCCAGCAGACAAGTATTGGAATAGTATTGGAAAAATGAAAGATGAGCTGGGCAATTTTGAATATGATAAACTCTCTGAAGTAATAAAGTCTATCCTTGTAATGCCACACTGCAATGCAGGTTGTGAGAGGATTTTTCTTGCTTGTTCATAAAAACTTTTGAGGATCATTATCAAACTCCACCTTAGAATTTGTGCTGAATTTACTGGTGATTTTCTAAAGAAAGCCAAGAGTGCTACTTACAGTGATCTTGATCAGTAGTACACTATAATTAGTAAGTATTAATAATGACATAATTAGCGGTGACACCATTTACATTTTTTGCTATTTTTCTCTTGTCTCTGTAGGGATTAATATTTTTCAAAATTTAATGTTGGCAGTTCTGTATTATTCCTACTTTTTCATTGTCTTATCCTCTCTTCCCATATCAATGCAGGAATACATGCTCCATACATCTCTGTATTCCAAATCTTCATGGTTGTTTCAACTGTCAGCTAGCAAATTATTCCTGTTCTGTAACCTTAACTATGTCTGTTGTTATAGTAAAGACCACTGCAATGACATCTGTTGTGCTGAGTCTCCATTTCTCAAATCAACTGTAAAAGCTCATACAAGTGTTACTCATGACCTCGCCCTAAGGGGAAGAATAGAAAGGAAGTCAAGCATACCAAAATGTTGATTAACTTATCTTATGCTGAAGTATGCAAGCTCATAACACTGGTTATATTGAAGCTGAAATATGAAATTAGAATGGTCAGTCTTGAACTTCCAGTACTTGTGCTATGGAAGTTGATAGACCCATCAAGGCTAAACCTTTTAGGTGATAATGGTCACTTTTATTTAGTAGAACTTTCAAAGTTTTCCTTCTAAGTTAGCCTACGTAAAGGCCTTGACTGCTTATTACTTTCAACCATTAATATCTTGATTTGGCAATTTTTAATGTTATGGAAAGACAATCAGTGGTAGAATTGTTTGTAGTGTTGTGTCATTGTTCATTAGCTATCATGTCTCGCACCATGCTCATACCATTTTATAGGTCACTAGAAGCCATTGCCATTCAAGTTTCCATTTTCTCTATGATTACAGTTTGTTACCTGTATCTATCACCTAGGGAAGATACTGGTCTTGATGATCTTGTATATCATCTTCTTCCCTCTTTGTCATCCTTGAAGACACAGCCTGTTTTGGGGCTTCTGCTAAGACAAATGTAAAAGAGATATATTTCTGGAGTGTATGTTCTCCGATCATAACTTATACCTCTTGAATATTGATACCATGACATACTTTCACACCCTTAGTCAGACTTTTACTGTAATGGGCCTATTCCTCTTCAATATTGATACCATGACATACTTTCACACCCTTAGTCAGTCCTTTACTGTGATGGGTCTGTTCTTCTTGAATATTGATACCATGACATACTTGCCTGCTTCCTTCACTATACTGAAAGGTAGACAACCTTCCACGTGGTAACTATTATTTTAATTTCAAACAAGAGGCGGGAGCTGGCCTAATTTGACTTGTTTGCCACATTGAAAACTGTTGAAGACCAACTGGCCTTCCTGTAATACTGTTTCAGAATTTGGTCCTACCAATGTCAGCCAATAGTCCATTAATGTGATTGTTGAGGCTGTGACTGATCCCACTTTTCATGCAGCTTTAGCACATTTCCCATTTTACCCTTGACCATGGTGAATCACTATGAATCAGCATGCCAACTTGACCCAGTATAGGGCTCAGGAATCTTTCACAAGTACCCCATTTTTTCAACATTATTGATTTTTCTACAGACTTGATCCTAAACCCAATGTACTAAATGGAAGTCCTACAGACTTGTGGAAAAAATTTATTACTAGTATCTCCCCCACCCCGCCCCTAACAATTCTAAGATTGTTTGGGAGAAGATAAAGAAGGTAAATTGGAAGTATTCTTCCACTCCCTGTTTATCTTGCTCCTTGACAGTCAATGCTGCCCTTATCTTTTGAGCTGTCACTGGAGTGGAATACTGCAAATGGTTTTGATTTTCTTCATGCAAAACAATTTGCATGTGTTTTTGTCACCAGTGAATTTACATTCAGTCCCGAAGCTCTGTATTTGTAATGTTGTAATTTGTGTAGTTACAGAAGCTACATTCATAACTTCTATGACCACTGCAAATTTATATGCAATCTCTTTTGCTTTGGACAATATAGAAGATAAAAAGTTCAATCAGTGTACTATTTATATTATCTGGGCATAGTTCTTTGTTGGCCCTATACTAAAATTGATATTAAACCTTCACTTCCTGAGCACATTACAAGCTAGTCACTGAAACATGCAAACTGAAATTTCTAACTAAGGTGGTTATAGCATTCAAGTAAGATTTAGATAAAACTTTTATCAATTTATTCTGAAAAAAAACACTACAATGTGCTTTAACTGTTCAATTGTTCTTGCATATATTTTTTATTAATTATAATTTAATGTGGATTAGCTATCTTATTTAAGTATCATTCAAGTTATGCATGTGTTAATTTTTTTCTATCGTGAAATTTTCATCCACAGATGTGTTGGTATGGTCTAATGACAGGATCATCAAATGGTTGAATTCTGTAGGACTGAAAGAATATTCCCAGAATTTATTAGAATCAGGAGTACATGGAGCTCTTATAGCATTAGATGATAATTTTGACTATAACTCAATGGCTTTAGCTCTTCAAATTCCAACTCCTAACACTCAGGTAAACTTCATGGAAATAGTTCTGTTGAAATTGAATATTTTATTGAAACTCCTATGGGTGTCTTATGATATAAGTGAACAATGTTTTTAGTTAACAACAAACTGATTAAAGCTCTAGCTAACTGCAAGTTTCCTTATTTATACCTAGTTTATTTTTTTCCTCTGTAGTTTGTACTTTTTAAAACAACCCAGTTTATTTTCAGAGGCTAAATTTGGACGTTGCTTTATCTCTTCTGTGCTATGTAAAATTGCCCTAAGAAACCAACTGATTACTTATTATAGATTTATTTATTTATTTTCATGCAAGAAATTCTGCTTCAAATGATAAAGAAAATAATTTCATATATAGTCAGTAAAAACGACTAAGGACCCATCTAGCTTAACTAAGTCTTAGTCCAGTTGTCTTCCTACAGGAAGTTAATGCTTAAATAAAAAATGATTGAAGAAGTAATTATTATTAACTTCTTCTTTACTTTGAATCATGATTTCTTATAACAATGTTTACCATGGATCAGTTTTACATCTTTGCTTTGGATTTGTTTTCTATTTTTCACTCAGATTCCTTTATTTTTACTCTCATCAAACATGGATTTTTCTAGTTCTTTTCTTATCTTACATGAGCTTTTTCAAATTCTGTTCATTTTTTTTTTACACAGTTGCTACAGCTCTGATATTGTCATCATTAAAAATCAAATTTCTACTAAAGACCCAGCTTTGTTTGAGGGGCTTAATTTAGAATTAGTTTTAATTCATTTTGTACAGAAAACTGCTCATGCTGTGACTAATAAGTTAGATTTATTAAAGAAAAGCTATGCATCAACTGTTAGTCTAGTAAGTAATGATACTAAAACAGTTTTCATATTACTTTATAATTACTTAGAGTCTGAGCATGTACATTAAATTTCTTTTATCATCTTTGCAGTTACAGACATATGCAAGTGTTTGTAAATGTAACTCTTTGTTTCCTAAAGGCTAAACAGATGTTGAAAAGGGAATATTCCAACCTTCTTCTTCAAGGAACAGATAGAAAGCCAGATGAGGTAAGTAGAAACTTGAAGCACTAGTTACACAGGTGCAACATTGTTTCTTATTTTATGTCATTTACTAACTAGTTAAGTAAACTACCATGGTATGAGGTGATATTGATAGACAGTGTTTCTTATTTTATGTCATTCACTATCTAGCTTAGTAAACTACCATGGTGTATGAGGTGATACTGATATACAGTGTTTCTTATTTTAATCATTTACTAACTAGTTAAGTAAACTACCATGGTATGAGGTGATATTGATAGACAGTGTTTCTTATTTTATGTCATTCACTAACTAGCTTTGTAAACTACCATGGTATGAGGTGGTACTTATAGACAGCATTTCTTATTTTATGTCATTCACTAACTAGTTAAGTAAACTACCATGGTATGAGGTGATACTAATAGACAGTGTTTCTTATTTTATGTCATTCACTAACTAGTTAAGTAAACTACCATGGTATGAGGTGATACTAATAGACATTGTTTCTTATTTTATGTCATTTACTAACTAGTTAAGTAAACTACTATGGTATGAGGTGATACTGATATACAGTGTTTCGTATTTTATGTCATTTACTAACTAGTTAAGTAAACTACCATGGTATGAGGTGATACTGATAGACAGTGTTTCTTATTTTATGTCATTCACTAACTAGCTTAGTAAACTACCATGGTATGAGGTGATACTGATAGACAGTGTTTCTTATTTTATGTCATTTACTAACTAGTTAAGTAAACTACCATGGTATGAGGTGATATTGATAGACAGTGTTTCTTATTTTATGTCATTCACTAACTAGCTTAGTAAACTACCATGGTGTATGAGGTGATACTGATATACAGTGTTTCCTATTTTATGTCATTCACTAACTAGCTTAGTATGCTATTATTATACTAACCAGAAAGCAAATGTAAGAACCAGAGCAGTGCGTTTTAGTAAATAAAGCAGTAATTCTGTCTGAAATATGATGTATATGTAATGGAATCGGTAGTATACATATTTCTAATACAAAAAAAATTATAGTTTAATAAATGTGCAGTCACTTCAGATTTATGTGATAAAGTTTCATAACTTGTCACTTGTTGTTTCAGAAATTAGAAATAACTTTTCAAAACACTATTATGGTCATCCTCCTATGTTTAATGTTGACCTTTGACCTACTGGAAAAAAAAAGACAACAAAAATAATGAAATAGCTGATCTTTGGTGGTTCAGTCTTTCTACTATTCTGGATTGTTGTTGATTTTGGGCTGTACTAATAATTTTCAAATCTGTATTGTAACAATGCTGTATGTTTTTGTTTGTTCTTTTTCAAATATTGCCAATAAGTTTTATGTTCTAAGTGTGGATAGATGCTTAACCTCGTGTATTTCATACTATGACTTTGACATGTAAATCTGTAAACAAATAACAAATGCTTATTGTTTGTCTTTTAAGGTAAATCAATGTTTAAATCATATAAACAGTTTTAAAATCCATCTTTATTGTACTTATGGATACACACATCTCATGTGACTTTAAAGTTGATTACATTTTCTTCAGTATTCAGTAATACTAGAGTAATCAACTTTTTTGCCTGACACAAGTTTTTGGAATATGAGAGGAAGTACATTTTTAAGATTAAAGTAATATATCCCTTGTCTTTCACAGAGTTAAAATTAGGATAGCTGCTCCTTAGTTTATGCCTTTGATTAGTATAAAGTGTGTGTTTCTGTCTAGATGGCATTAACTTAGTCACGCATGCATATCAGCTAATCATGGTTAAAATAATGAACATCACACTGTAATAATTTCTTCTGGTATTCAGAAACAAATATGAAAAGAAATGCTTAAAGTATTTATTTTTGCTGATGTGTTAAGCATTTAATTCTAGAAATTAGGATAATCAATGCCCATTATTTCTATATCTTATGATAATTAAAGTAAAAAAAAAATATCAGTAAGTTACAATAACATTTTTGCATTACTAGTGTATTGCATAAAGTGTGTTTATATTTAATGTACTATATAAATTTTTTTTATTAGAAGCGTGTTTTTCCCTGACTTTATGTTCCTTAACTTTAGCAGATTATTGTAAAAATTGTTAATATTGAATTTTGCCATTTAGTTTATTAAAGTTTGCTTACATGTTAATGATTTTATCAATCAACAATTGCACTTTAAAAATAGTTTATTATAGTTAAGTATCAGAAAAGAGTTTTTCACCAGTTTTTGTGTAATAAACAGTTCTTTGATTGTGTATACATTAAAAACTGTCAATGAGCACTAGAGTTTATTGGATTTATTTTTCAGTTTTATTTTAAGCCATTATTTATAAGCAGCTTAAAAGATTATAGATGTATGCTTGACTGCTTTTCCTTATTTTTCACAGGCTAGAAGATTTCTCCATGGTAGATAGCTAGTCCTGCAGTTCCCAACTTCTTACTCTTTGTAAGAGCACCACCTTTCCTTTGTTGCTTGGTCTGTGCTGCTTTTTTTCATGTTTGTTTTAGCTTATTCATGCATGGCTTATTGTTATTTGTTTGTTTATTACACACGCATTTAGTGTTACCTTCCTCAGGAAAACTTTTAACCACATGATAATTTCTGTCTTCTTCCTTTGTACAGGCTCCTCGACATTCATCCCATTCGGGGGCTGTCCCCCACAATGTACAGGGAGATCGCTTGGTTTGATATCTGTATGTACATGCCAATACTTACAAGAAGGCTAATCAGTTGAGGTAGTTTAATGAAGATGCCACCACGGTACTGACTGCCACAGCAACTGGTGACTACGGGAATACCACGAGTGCCATGTGTATGATAGTCAGAAAAATCCATCTCAATGGAGTATAGAAAATGTAATAACAAAACTAGTACCAATATACTTGTATATTTATGTGTTTATGTTGATCAAGTCAGAAGGAGGATACCACATGCCAAAGAAAAAACAATCTGATAGGTCTACATCTACTAAATAACAAAGAAATAGCTCTCAATACTAATAGACATATCTAGCAAAAGAAGACCTTTTTCAACTTCATGTTAGTTTTTGTGAATGAATCCTTTAAGCACACATATACAGCCCATTGCCTCAGTTCTCAATTAGAACACTGAAAGAAGAGCAAATTCACTGTCATCAAAGGTCCATCCTTATACAGTGTGTGTGTGTGTTTCTAATAATCAGTAGTTCATTCGGTTTTTGTTTGATATGTTTTTCTATGTGAGCCTTAATTTTGACCTTTGACAGATGTGAATGCTCAGGTCACCATGATACGGAGCATGATTCTGTCATATTAAGTTGAAGTACATAATATTTACAAGTACTTTATACTCCCTGTCAACTAAGCCTAACCTAATAAGATTAATCTCAGTCAGGTAGATTGTTGTAGGTGCTGACCAAATTTAATACATCTTCTTTTTGCTCTGTGTTTCAATACTAGTCTTGGTAAAACTTTGGAAAATTACCACTGCATAGTAGTCGTGTTGGTGTATTAATCAAGATTCTCTAAGATTCAGTTATCCAAGATAACAAATTGCTAAGTCATACCATATTTTTCTTTCTTGAAAATAGGAGGGAATTAAAAAAGGAAGTTTTTTCATAATTATAGGCACCTTATATTTTACTCTGTTTTTTTCTCGCGTGGTACTGTATTCTTAGTTTTATACAAGCATGGCAATATTGATTTGAATGTTTCCTCCATTTGTGGATGTATAGGAATATGCACATACACACTCTTACATATATTAGAAGAACAATTATTTCAATAAATCGAGGTTTTATATAATTTTCATGTTATATTATTCATTAATTAATATTTAATACAAATGGGTGATTGCTGGCAGTATGTTATATTTATTAGTATAAAAATAATTGATTTTTGGAACCTTCAGACAAAACGTTCTATTATGATTTTTTAAATTCAGTATGCAATAAATATTTTCATATTTCAATACAATTACTTACTGTAATAGAAAGATCATAATGAATAATTAAAAACTTGTGTTAGGGTACCAGCAATGCTTTTTTTGCAAATTATAGAATTTAACTGTTTCAATTTTTGTATAGTTATAATTATTTATCTGGTTTTCCCCCTTTTTTACCCCAAACATATATTTTCTATGTTCTTATAGCCATATTTCATGAAAATAAATATTAGTAACAAAATAATAGATCTTCAGATATGCTAATATGTCATTTGTGGCATTGTATTTTGATAAATTTTCATCATAATTAGTTTTAAACAATTCTTAAACTTTATGTTTTCATTTTATATTTTTGAAGGAAAATGAAGTTTAAAGCATTTATTTTGATCATATTTCTCATACTCTAAACTAATGGTCCTAAGCATTTTTAATCTTTGATTCGGTAATAGAGTGCAAAAGCAATCTTGAAATACCTTTGTGGCTGCTTTATTTTATTTGCATAATCAGACATATATTTACTGGTAGATGATGTTGGCAGTACTTAAAGCAGAAAAATTTTTGCCTGATGATTCATCCAAAAATATTAACAATTTTTTGCAGCAACTTACTCTGATAAGATAAAAATAAACAGTCAACAGGTGGTTAAATACTTCATGGCAAATTATTGTGCAAGAACTCTGAGAAAGAGAAAAATATCTGAATTCTTTCTTCGTATGGCTTACCATATGACTTCAGAGTTGCCATTTTTAAATGTAATGATGCTTAATGGAAAAGCTACATTAATTCTAACACTTTCTATTTTTTAATTTTATATTTCAGTACCTCTCTTAGAAATACATCTAGAAATTAAGTCACATGAGTAGTTTTTCTGTAATTGTATAACATTTCAGCTTTGACAAATCCCTGAACACACTACAGTTGAGTTGTCATGGAAACAGTGATAAATCACTACAGGGCTGCTCGTGATAAATTTTTATAGTATCATTACAACATTTTCTTCTAAATCAACATTGTAGTGTTCTTACAACTACTGTTTCATTACAGCAATATTATTGGTATTATTTCTGATATCACCACAGTTTGGTTCTGGTAATCATTATTGCCTCACTATAACCAGTGTATTTTGTATCTTTACATCTTTTTAGTAAGTTTTTAAAATCATTATTGTATCTTTACAAAGGTGTTGCACTATATAATAGTGCTCTTGAATTCATTGTTGCTTCTTCATAGTGATGTTCATAATATTTTTGTACAACACAGTGGTGTTTTGAAATAATTGTTGCATCATTATGTTGGTTTTTCCCCCAAGGAATTACAGTTGTATGTCTAAAGTAATGGTCTGTGAAGCAGAGTTGCATAATCATGGTGGTTTTTATCATCATCATTGTAATGATGTTTTTGGAAGATTTCTTGCATCACCCAAGATTGATAACAGTTTGACCCTTTATTTTGATCATTGAGAACTCACTGTGTATCTATACAAATATTTTTTGTTTTGTTTTTTCAGTTTCATGTGTAACTGTTAATGTTGTATTCTTCATTTGTGGTTTCACTGTATGTACTTTGTGACCCATAGCTCTCCCATATCATAGAATAACCTGTTATGTAAAACATTAGAGGAATATCAATAGTATATCCACCTAGTATCTATATTGATGTAATTTTCCATTTGTTTCATACTACTCTTGAAGCTTAGGATGTATTCTTAATAACTTGTCCCTCAAAGAGGGTAAGGTAAGCTCATTTCACAAGTTTCACTGCCACTGTAACATCATACCAGGCCTACTATGTTGTCTCCGTGTATGTGTGTTTATTGTAACATCATACCAGACCTACTATGTTGTCTCCGTGTATGTGTGTTTATTGTAACATCATACCAGACCTACTATGTTGTCTCCTTGTATGTACATTAGTTGTAACATCATACCAGACCTACTATGTTGTGTATGTACTTTTTAGAACCCCTGCTTGTTGAAAACGTTTTTAATTTTCTCATCTTTTCAATTCAAGTAAAAAAGTAATACTAAATAAAACATATTTCAAGTAAAGAATATCAGGAATTTATGTTTTCCAGAACAAATAAGGTCTTTGCATTTTTTTTTTTCAATACTGATGCAGGACTGAATATATTATTTACTCATTTCAGTTTTTTTTTTTAATCTTATATATGTTTATATCTTACAATGTACTTGAAAAATATCTCTCAATAACATTAGCATTTTAAGAAGACTTGAAGATAGTTATAAGCTTAAATTTTTCTCTTCTGTTAAAGACAAACTTCCATACCAATATGACCAAGTAATTCTATTATGGAGTGTAAAAGGAATCTTGAAATATACATCAAATCATAAGTTATAATGATTAGCCACTCCAAATGGTAAATTAGTAGATATTCTGTTAACCAAGAATTTAAACATTTGGTGGCAGGAATGCTGTCATTTACACGAGACATTTAGAAAAGTGCTTGAGCATCGTGGAATAAATAACACAACAGAATGAGCACCCTAATGATTTTTCTTTTTAATCCATATCATTACAAAAATCAGTACATCATTAAGAGAGACAGGTAACACGGTTTGAGTCCTCTGAGCTCTTCAATATCCTTAAATATGTAACTTGTATTTTGTAATGTGCATCGTGTTTGAAGTGTGTAATAAAACTGCATGTAACTCTCTGACCACAAGTTACTGCAACATAGTTTGATCTTATGACAAAAATGTTTTAGTAATTTCCAAACAATACCTGATCAAACAGGACTTTTATAGTAAGATTACAACTGTGCTTTCTTACTAAATGATGTGGTATTTGCCAGCTTTAAACCAGTTCTGAAAACACTGTATTCAGATGGTGTGACATTAGATTATATTACACAGACAAAGCAGTTTTTGTGTACATTCTCAAATTGTTATTCTTTGTTATTTAATTATTAAAAATAATCTGTAGCAAGTACCCTGACTAGTTCCAATTTTATTGAACCATGCCTAGAAAGCTGAGAACTAGACTGAAACAATTTAATCGTGTTTTTAATTGGTTGTAGAAATCCATAGAGCCTTTTCCTTAGTACAGTGTATACAATTATATGACTATACTTTTAGCAGTAGCAGTATTACCCATGGATCACTTATTTTCTCTTTTTTTTGTTTTTTTACATTTTGTATATATATATATAACTAAAAGAATGAATTACTATAGATTGCTTTGTAGTGTGTTTTTGAGGAAAAAATGGAATCATTGAATCATCTGAAGTACAATGATCTGTATAATATTAAAATTTTGTGAGGACTTAGACTTTTGGATGAAATATATCCACCTGCGTTTACACATACATATATACAAGATTTCTATGGATGTAAATTTGTTATACTGTTCAGCACGGGCAAGGTCTATAGATATTAGATGTGTTGTATTGGTACTTGTCACTATTTGACTGACTTTCTAAAAACTTCTGAATCACATTAGTCAGTTAAAATAATTGTTGCCTTAGATGAAAATTACTTAAGTAAACATTGAATTTTGTTTTTGTATTGAAATAATTTGTAAAGCTTTTGTAGATCTCTCTTAATTGCTCGAGTAATGTTATGTTGAAAGTAAATTATATGTTTACTAATAGTGTTATGTTACCCATATTACATTCAACTGTATTCTTGAGCTCAGAAGACGAAATTATGAATATGTGTATCTGTCCAGCTACCCAAAGCTGAAAATTTCTGTACTAACATATATATTAGGCAATTAAGTACTGCTCATTAACTATGAACTGTTCATTAATTAAGTTATTCTATTTTACATAAAAATTAACAACCTGTATCTTAGGCTTTGGTTAAATTTTCTGTTATCCATCCAACTGAATATTAATCTTGACTTTGGTCAAACTTTCTGCTTAATTATTTTTTAAGAATGCTATGGTTACACCTAAACATTATTCTTTGTTTCTAAAGAGTTCTTTGTGCTTTGGATACACTTTTTTGCTACACCTTTGTCTAAACATCAGTCTTAATTCTTTTTTTTTTTCATATACTTTGGATATACATTCTACCACTCTTTCACTAAACATTATTGTTAGCTTTTGACATGTAAATTCATTTAGGAATAAGCAAAGTGTAAAATATATCTGTTTATGACAAAAGGAAACTGTTCTATTAGTTTTGTGGTTAAAGTAAAGTTGAAGAACAACTCTGAGTAATGTATTTAAACACCTCGTAGTGTTTCTTGAATGAACATTTGCTGGCACGATTAACTGTCAGTCTGCTCTCTGTATTCATTGTTCTCATGAGTATGTTGTACAAAAGCATGGGTATTATTGCCATAACTGTGTTGTATTATGACATGTATATCTAGTGAAAGAAAGGATTAATACAATCACTGAGGATGAAAAAAAAGTCTCTCTGGTATTATATTTGTTTCTCCTTTAGCTGTATAGATGTTATTGGTTTTTTGTTGTTGTATGTACTATAAGTTGAGAAAGACAATTAATGTTGTGTGATGTCATATAACACCTATTACCATCTAAATATTCTTGTTCATCTAGACAAAAAGTGTTGTATGATGTCATATAACACACATTACCAACTAAACACCCCCTGTTCATCTAAACAGTTAATGTTGTGTGATGTCATATAATACACATTACAAACTAAACACCCCCTGTTCATGTTGTGTGATGTCATATAACACCTATTACCATCTAAATATTCTTGTTCATCTGAACAATTAATGTTATATGATGTCATATAACACACACATTACCAACTAAACACCCCTGTTCATTTAAACAGTAAAGGTTGTGTGATATCATATAACACCTATTACCAACTAAACAAACCTGTTCATTTAGACAATAACTGTGTCATATAACACCTATTACGAACTAAATATCCCTGTTCATCTAGACAATAACGTTGTATGATGTCATTTAACACCTGTTACCACCTAAACATGTTACTGTTAATCTACTGTTTATATAACTATAACTTGATAATAGTATATTAATAATACATGAATCTATTTTATCTGTCTATCCTTCCAC